AGAGTCCCAGACCCAGTGGCTTAAACTCACGCTGGGCGCGTGTACGTGCATGCCCAAGATCCCGAGAGGAGAATGGAGAAAGGATTGTGGTGTGGCCATCCCCCCTGGGGGGTGATTTCTCACTTTCTGTCTTTCTGTTTCTGTCTTTCTGGCGAGCGCACGTGCCCAAGAGCAAAAACCTCAAAAATAAAGAAATAAATGAAATAAAAATGGAAATCAACTCATGCCTTAAAAACTAAGGGAGTGGGACCAGCAGGTGGCATGGTGATCAAGTTGTGGAACTCCCACATGACCAACCATGGTATGAGTCCTGGACTTGGCAGCCTGCTTTCTCACTTTCTCTCTCTCAGCTTGCTTTCTCATCCATCCCCCACCCCATCTCTCTCTCTCTCTCTCAATTTGGGAGCACACATGACTTATAGTAAATCAAAAATAATAATAAATAAAATGAAATGAGTTAATTCTCTCTCTCTCTCTCTCTTTTTTGTGGCTAGGCCAGCAAGGTGGCAAGAGCTGGCCGACCTGCTATTCAACAGGCTGAAACCACGCGGGGGACCCGGGTCCCATCCTCAGCCCCTATGGAGCTGGTAGAACAGTAAGATGGCCGTGAAACCCTTCCTGAGCTTGATGGTCGCCATCTCCCGACCTGCTGACGCAGGGCAGGGACCAGACCGGACTGAGGGCTGACCAGCCTGACCCCCGCCAGGCTGATGGCCGGAGCCTGGGCTACACCGCGAGGTCCCTGACAAGCCACTCTTCTCTGCGAAATTTCCAACCTTCTCTTCATCTATTTATTCAGTCCACGCACGCACCGAAGGTACGAACCAAGCAACACCGAGAAAGAACAGATCCATCACCTGACAGCGTTTCCAGCTTTGTTGGGGAAGACAGACCTCTGTCAATCTCACAGGTGACTTCACGACTACAAGGTGCTTGATAGGAATGTGCCCCATGGGGTGGGAGGGGTGGGTCTAGCAGGGGACCGTCAGGCCAGGAAGTAGCGGACTGCTCCCCAGAGGAAGCCGCGTGAGGGCTGAAATCAGAACAGTGAATATGAATTAGTGATGGGAGGAGGAGGACCGATGGGCCGGCACAAGGACAGTGTGTGCAAAGGCCATGGGGTGTGCAGGTAGACGGGAACTCTGAGGAGCCAAAAGAAGGGCAGCCACGAGCTCGCAGACTTCCAGAGGGGAGAGGCTTTGCTAAGCTAAAACCCCACTCTGCCCCCTCCCGCCCCACGTCAGAGCTCCTGGATCCCCAGGTGCCCCACGACATCCTGGTGGGCCAACTCTCTGATCAGTAAGAAGGTCAGACATGTTTAAGTGACTTGGTGGGTTGGCGCTCCCGAGGGAGTTTCAAAAAGGTCCTCCCACAGCAATGCGTTGCCCCTGAGGGTCTGCTCCTTCGGTCTGGGTCCTGGGTTGAAGTTAGGTGGGGCAGACCACAGCCAGCTGTATCCCTTGTGTCCTTCGAGTGAGAAAAGCATGCTGTTGTCGAAAGCACCATGGCTTAAACTCACACCAGGCGCATGTGCGGGCGTGCCCAGGGTCCCGAGAGGAGAAAGGAGGAGAAGGGATTGCGGCGTGGCCATCCCCCCGGGGGGTGATTTCTCGTTTTCTGTCTCTATGTCTCTCTCTGTCTTTCTGGTGAGCACACGTGCCCCATAGCAAAAACCTCTACAAAAATAAGAAAAGAAGAAGAAGATGGGGGTGACATACCCATTCAAAGGGATCACACACACACTCCAGTTCTGCCTCTGGATCAGTTTTATTTGAAATAATTCATCTTATTATTTAAGTCCTTTCAAGTCAAGATTTCTGCTATTTGCAAGTGAAAAAAATCCTAATGGGCAAGCAATCTAAAATCTGTATCACAACCACAAGATCCCACATCAGATAGTCCTACATTCCCTCTCCAGTCTCCCCGTTCACCCGCCTCGCTTCAGCCACACTCCACTATTCCCTTTCCTCTGGGTTTGCACACGGGCAGTCCCCTCTGTCTGGAATGCTGTTCCCCCACGTTCCTCAGAAGCTGCCATCATACCCTGTACTTCTGCTTCATGGCACGTTCTGTGCTGGGAGAGCGTGTGTTTATTTGTTTACCCCTCTCATCTCTCCTTCCAATAGATACAGTCTCCATGGAGTCAGGGCTATATCTGTCTGGCTCACCACGGTGACTGTAGCAGGCATTCACTCCTGTGCAAGGCTCAGAGTAGGGTCTCACTACAGAATTACTGAGTGAATTAATGCATGAACAAATGAATGAATTATATGAGATGACACTTGAGAGAAGTCCTTTTTTAAAAAAGAGATTTTTGCTATAGGGCACGTGCACTCACAGGAGATACCGAAAAAAAAAAAAAAAAAAAAAAAAAAACAAAGGAAAAAAAAAAAAAAAAAAAAAAAAGAAAGTGAGAAATCACCCCCCAACGAGGGTGGCCATGCTGCAATCCCTTCTCCTCTTGGGATCTTGGGCATGCATGCACACTCCCTCGACATGAGGTTTAAGCCACCAGGTCCAGGACTTGAACTGCAGTTAGTTGACTATGTGGGAGTCCAGTGATGTAACCACTACGCCATCTGCTGGTTCCTAAATGAGTAATTCCTTTTTTTTTTTTTTTTTTTTAAAGAGCTCTTTAAAGTGGTATATAACGTACAAAGAGACATTTAGTAAATATAAAAGCATTCTATTTTTTGGGAACCAGCAGTTAGCGTAATGGCTATGTCGCTGGACTCCCACGTAGTCGACCGCGGTTCCTGTCCTGGACCCGGTGGCTTAAAACTCACGCTGGACGCATGTGTGTGCGTACCCAAGATCCCGAGAGGAGAATGGAGGAGAAGGGATTGCAGCGTGGCCATCCCCCCTGGGGGGTGATTTCTCGCTTTCTGTCTCTATGTCTCTGTCTGTCTGTCTGGCGAGCACACATGCCCTATAGCGAAAACCTCTCAAAAAAAAAAAAAAAGCATTCTATTTTTCCTTTTTGGATGAAGAAATGCTATGCTATTATATTAATATTAGACTTAACATTTAGCTACAATAAATTCATGCAACCTGAGGTACCGCTACCTCCACAAAGCCAGGAGCCACAAACCAATTGCCTATTGGAACCAGGCAGCACATGTAGACAAGTGAAAGGCTGCATGTAACAAAACAAGGAGGGAACTGGGACAAACTGGACAGCGAGCCTAACAGGCAGGGGTCCTCAGACATAGTTGATTGTTGCCTTTCAAGGGAATTTAGGTCCATCATCATCACCAGATGAATTTACCAGATCTGATGTTTCAAGAAGACAGAAGACTAGATTTTTGTGTAAAATCTTTAAATCACTTATATTAATTTTAAATATTAACAAATACAGTTCACTATGTGGGGCAATCAAAACATAGTCATAGGCAAAATATGGCCCACAAGCCCACTAATATTCAGCAGTAGTCAATCATGATTTGAGTCCTAGACCCAGTGTCTTAAAACTCACACTGGGCACATGTGCATGTGTGTCCAAGATCCCAAGATGAGAATGTTGAAGAAGGGACTGCGGCGTGGCCATTCTCCCTGTGTGTGTGTGTGTATGTGTGATTTCTCTCCAGCAAGTACACACACCCTACAGCAAAAATCTCTTAAAAAAAAAGAAAGAAAAGATTTTATTTTTCTTCCAGTCCATATCTGAAAGCCTTAGAAGGTTCTCACACTAGAATTAGAAGAAACAGGCACACGTATTTGAGACTAAACACCAAAAGAACTTCGTGGGAAGTTTTACACAATGATTAAAAAGAAAAATTAACAACCCAAAGAGAGTTAATCGATTTAGTGTCACTACCTATCAAAATTTCTTAGGCATTGGAATCACGTTTATTTAATGAAATTAAATAATATCATCTACATGTTCTTGTAGCAACTTAGGGTTTTACAACTAATTTTCATATTCACTTTTCTACTTGATTCTCATATTTTCATTTTTCAGATAATAACAGAAGCACAAATGACTTGCCTAAGGCTCCACCACCAGTCCGTGGCAGAGTAAAAGAAAACAGAATCATCCTAATTTTAGTGACTATTCCCATATAGCATGGTTGCCCAAGGCAACCTATTTCATAGACACTTGGCTATATATTTTGTTTTACTCATTAAATTTGACAACGTTCTAATACAGTATTGATACATTACAACTAGAAGGGTCATTACAGGCAATGTAAACTATAGACAGTACTTCTCAACTTCCTGCTCCCTTTTTGTTCACATGTGTAACACAGTCTCAACAGGAATGTTTCATATGTGACGTTATTCATAACAACGGTAGAGAGAGGTCTCTGGAGAGTAGCAGGGAGTGCATGTGCAGACAGAATTGTGCCCTTGAGGAATCATCTCCCATCAACTGAAATGGCCTGCTCTAGCCCCGACCCCTGGGTTAAAAACGATCAGTACCGTCCATCCTTCTTCCTTTTCACTTGACAGGTTAGGAAGCTAAGGATAAGTCAGATGACTGACTTGCCTAAGTTCACAGAGTTACAAAATGGCAAAGCCAATTCTAGAATCCAACCTCTAAAATTAAGTATAAAGTAAAGGGGTCAGCCAGTGATATGGTGGTTAAGGCACCTGGAACCTACATGGCCCACTGCATGGTTTGAGTCTCAGACCTGGCAGCTTGAAAAACATGCCAGGCACATGGGCATGTGTGCCTAGAATCCCAAGAGGAGAATGGAGGAGAAGGGATTTCAGCATGGCCATCCCCTAGGGATGCTTTTTCATCCCTCTTCACCCCGATCTGTTTTTCTCTCTCCCTTTCCCCCGCAAGCACACGTACCCTACAGCAAAATTAAAAATAAAAATAAAAAAATATGGCAAGGAAGTGGGCTCTAAAGCCTTCAATATTCTCAAAGACATTATCACAGGTTGTGAGATTTGGGGGGAGGTATGTGTGTGTGTGTGTACACATGTACACATGTGGCTGTTTTGTTGTAGCTTAACGACTTTTCTAAGATGCCAGACGCCTTTTCTCTTACCTCCCATCCTTCCATTTCCAGTCCTCTCTTCCCATATATGTCATAGATGGCCCTGGTTTGGGGATCACTAAGCACTGTAAATTAAAAATCAAACATGTTATGAAGTATAAAATTTTCCTTAAATATAATCCTTTCTGAAAACAGACAACAATGTCATTAGTTAAGACGATCTCTTGTTCTTCCCTGTCTGATCATAACTTTCCTAAAGAACCTTTTCATTTACTATGTGTTTGTCCCCTTCACTGCTTTACCCATCCAACCTAGGATCTACTTAATGGTGGCTATGAATGAGAAAAGTTGGATTTTCCCAGTGTCCAAGTTACTTTTAATTGTAAGGTACACCTTGTAGGTAGAGGTTGAACATTAAAAACTTTGAAATACTCCAAAATCTGACTTTTTTGAACACCAACATGATATCACAAATGGAAAATTCCACATCTGGCTTCATGTGGCAGGTTATGGTCAAAATGTTGCAATACAAAACTACTGTATAAAATTGGGCCAACTCCATAGTGACACAGCAATGCGCTGCTCAAGAGAAGCTGAATCCCTCCTGGTGACTGAGGTTCAAATCACAGTCTTAGAGGCCTGAAAAACACAGTGGACCCATGTGTGTTCATACCTTAAATCTCTCTCTCCTCCCACCTTCCCTTTGGCAATTAAAAAAAAAAAAATTAGTAAGTTTCTTCCACAGTGTATAAAGTATACTGTTTTAAAAGAGTTGATTCTAGTTTCTAAAGAGAGAGAAAATGAGAAAGCCCCCCCCCATGGGAATTGTCATGCTATAATCCCTTCTCCTTCATTTCTCCCTCTTTTCTGGATTTTGGGCATACACACACAAACACACACAACACACACACGCACACACACACACACACAACACACACACGCACACACACACACACACAACACACACACGCACACACACACACACACACACACAGACAGCCAGCATATTTCTTCAGCCACCAAGTCCAAGACCAGAACTGCATAGTCAACCATTTGGGATCCAGTTTCCTTATCTACCATTGGTCCTCCAAATTATGTTATTTTGATGTTCTTTTCTTCTTTGTAGATCATTTAAAAAGAAACAACACCTCTTATAATGTTGTTAGCCATGCTACCCAAAGTACACAGGAGATTTCCCAGTAAGGGTGAGAGTTATTCAAAGGATGTCCAAACTAAACTTGAAAGTCAGTGAGGACAACAGTCATTCTCTTCAACCTCTACTCTATGAACTTCTGTTTAAGACCTTTGCATCTTTTCTCCCCAAAGAGTTTCCATATACTTTTAGGCCTAATTAAAAAGCAATGTACATGATTCTATTCATATTCAAATTTAATGGGGAAAAAAGAAATGCTGACCACTAGAAAACATGGGAGCCAAACTTCTTGAGCTAATCTCTAGGATTTAATAAGGAATTATTCATTCACTATTTTACTTTAGGCAAAACACTGGGACTAGGTCTGCTGCTACAGCATTTTTACAAATACTGGCAAGGTTTTTCTATTAACTCCTCCTCAAATCTTCCAAACAACACAAGCAAGCAATGTGGATAATTTAGACAACCATAAAAGTAATGTAGCCATTTAGACAACAATATACAATAAAAAGAATAGGCTTCTGGTCTTGACAATCACATAAGCATAGCAGTCTGAATAGAGTTAAATTTGGTAAATGACACAACATCCAAAGCACATGTTTATCATGCACCAAGTCTAATTTTTATTGGTCATTAAAAATCACACTTTTCAGTAAAATTAGAGAGTGAAATACACTATGTACTATCATGTCTACCACGAGAACTTTTTTTTTTTATTTTGTAAAGACATACATTATATAAATTTTGGTCTGTTCAATTAAGGAGCAAATTGCCAAATAGTTCTAGAATGAACAACTTATTTACTTGATATCTATCCCAAGAGTGATTGCACATGGTTTTTGTTTTTATTTTTAAGTTGTGGTAAAATACACACATAAAATTTACCATTTTAACAATTTTATAGTGTATGTTTCAGTACCATTAAGTATGTTTCATGTTTTATAACTATCATCACTATCTATTTCCAACATGTTTTTTCATCCCAAACAGAGGCTCTATATCTATTAGTGACTTTAATATTTTATAAACAAGTAGATGGCAAAATTTTCTTTCTGACATACATTTGATCTAAGTATAAAAATCTGAATTTCTTGGTTTTACTTTCTATTAGTCTTTTTAACATCATTTTCTTCCTTTTGTTTTAACCTTTAACTGAATGCTACCAAACCAATAAAATCACTTTAAGATGAAAAAACATCCTGAATCTTCTCACAAAAAAAGAGAACAAAGAAAGCTTCCCTGTACTGATCAGCCTTTTACTTCTAAGAGTTCCCTTTAGAAGAAAACTGGTAAACGATTGAAAACTCGAGTATTCCCCAGTAGTTCCGACCCTGGTCTATGCTTCACTTGTACTCTCATTTTCTACTCACTGGACATGTATTGATTTCCAAAACAAAATACTACTCTTTCAGGGAACCCTGTCAGTAAAATGTACTAAACTAACCGCCTCTTTTATACACCTCTAAGGACTCTCTTTTCTTATCCTCTACAAATCAAGTCTCTTAAAAATCGAATATCTGTTACCAGGTGTTTCTATAGAGCCAAGCCCTCCACTGACCTTCATAAGCTTGGTGAACAAGGTTAAATAGTCGTTCTGCTTGTGATTTGAGCTCCGGGTCTCTGTGCTTGTCTGGATGGTAAAGCATACACAGCCTCCGGTAGGCAGCTTTCAGCTCTTCAGAAGAGGCCTGAAAAAAGAAAAATTCAATTGGAGAACAATCAATGCTACTTAAACATTATCATTATCAGAATCAGCCTTGAAATGGAAACCTGTCAGCCACATTCCAACATGCTTACTCTCCACATACAGGATGTAATGAAGTTATGCTTTATTACCTCAATAATGCTACTTTCTCCTACCGTTAATAAAGTAATCAATTATGTACATCAATAGCAACCGTGTTTTGCTGGAAAATGCTGCTATCAGATGGAATTGAAAACTTGTGTCTCTGTACTAGCTTGATGAGCTCTGAGCTGAAACTAACATGTCACAGAGACCCGTTTACTCTTTAAACTATTTGAAGTAAATCATGTCAAGACACTAGCAACAGAGAATATTTTCAGAAGAGAAAAACTATATACCATTAGACAGAAATGATATCCATTTATTTTGACAAAGGAGACAAAGATATTAAGACAAGGATATCAATCCTTAAAAATCGAAGACAAACAAGGGACCGGCAGATGGTGTAATGGTTATGTCACTGGACTTCCATGTAGTTGACTGCGGTTTGAGTCCCAGACCCGGTGGCTTAAAACTCATGCTGGCTATGTGTGCACGCCCGTCCAAGATCCTGAGAGGATAATGAAGGAGAAGGGATTGTGGCATGGCCTTCTTCCTGGGGGGTGATTTCTCACTTTTTGTCTGTCTCTCTCTCTAGCAAGTGCAAGCGCCCTATGTCAAAAATCTCTCCCCCCACACACAAAAAAACAAAACAAAAAACAAAGACCAATAAAATTGTAAAACCTACAAACATCTCTAGTTTGACCTCTAATTATAAAAGGTAGCACATAAAATTACAAAACTGCTTTACTAACTTATAGTAACCACCCCCTAAAACAAACCAAAGGCTCCTTCCCAATACATGACTCTCCAGTTCTCCTAAGTAGTCAATTTAAATAATTCTTAAAAATTTATTATATTAAAAGAATGTTTTTAGGCTTCTTTTATTCATGATAGAGAGTGTGCAGGGTGTGGGCACCCTTATCAGGGGGTTACCACATTATGATTTCCTTCTAAGTGCTCTCCAACTCGGTGACATCTTGGCCATGCATGTGTCTTGTGTGGTTTTTTTGGAGAGATTTTCGCTATAGGGCGTGTGCGCTCGCCAGACAGAGAGAGAGAGACATAGAGCCAGAAAGCGAGAAATCACCCCCCAGGGGGGATGGTCACGCCGCAATCCCTTCTCCTCCATTCTCTTCTCGGGATCTTGGGCACGCACGCACACGCGCCCGGCGTGAGTTTTAAGCCACCGGGTCCGGGATGCGAACCGCGGTCAACTATGTGGGAGTCCAGCAACATAGCCATTATGCTAACTGCTGGTTCCCAGTGTCTTGTGTGTTTTCAGGTCCACCCAGGGATTCAAACACGCAGTCAGCCAGGTGGCTTCCAGCACTGCAGTTTCATATGCTAATGACTGCGCCTTAGAGGCTAGGCTCTAAATAGTTAATTTGAAGGGGAAAAATGCACAGTACTAACAGAACAGATGATAAAAAGAGTAGAATGAGTCCCAGGTGTGTCTGAACCATGCAGAATGGTAGAAGAACTCGCATAAAAACTCACACTCTCCTTGGCCTGTCCTACAACCACCACAAAGTTATATACAGAGCCTCTCAGAGCCCCAGGATCAGTGCAGGGTGTATTCGAATGACCCTGTGAGGTAAATGCTAGGTTTGATTCTAGCAATAGAGCCTAATTTGGCGACATGGCCAGTTCTATCCAGATAATTTGTCAAGTAAAAGATATTTTATTTGGGGAGGCAATCCCACCATTTTGACAACTGAGGTACATTTCTAGGACAGAGATAACAGAGATCTAGCTCACTAAGGAAAACGTTACGTTATATTTCCCCTATAATTTCCAAATGTTTCATTATCTTAATTCTGAGATGAATAATTTTCTTTCTTTCTTTCTTTTTCTTTTTTTTCTTCCTTCCTTCCTCCCTTCCTTTCTTTTTTTGCTAGAGGGCATATATGGTCGCCAGAGAAAGAGGGAGAGAAGACAACGCCCCTGATGGGGAATGGTCATGATGCAATCCCTTCTCCATTGCTCCCTCCTTTTGGGATTTTGGGCACACATGCACATGTACCCAGTGTGTTTCTCAAGACCTAGGGCCCAGGACTTGGACTGTATGGTCAGCCACATGGGATCTAGCTGCTTTAAATACTAGGCCATGAAGCTGGACTGATGAATGCAATTTTTGCCAATAAAAATTTTACTGTACTTAATGACTGACAGGTGACATGGTGGTTAAGGCGTTAAAATCTGACATGGCCAACTATGGTTCGAGTACTGGACCTGGCAACTTGTATTCTCTATAGGGCACGTGCGCTCGCCAGAAAGACAGACAGGGAGACAGAAAGTGAGAAATCACCCCCGGGGGGATGGTCATGCCACAATCCCTTCTCCTCCATTCTCCTCTTGGGATCTTGGGCCTGCAGGCAGACACGCCCAGCGTGAGTTCAAGCTACTGGGTCTGAGACTTGAACTGTAGTCAACTACCTACATGGAAGTCCGTTGACATAGCCATTACGTTAACTGCTGGTCCCTGGCAGCTTATATTCTCACGTTCATTCTCTGTCTATATCTTTCTGGTCAAATTTTAAAAATGATGATAATAATAATAATAAAAAATAAAATTAAAATTTTTTGGAGAGATTTTTGCTATAGGTGCGTGTGCTTGCCAGAAAGACAGAGACAGAGATACAGAAAGTGAGAAATCACCCCCCCCTCCCAGAA